GGAGCTACAGCCAGGAGAGAACAAATCCATACAACCTTCTCGCCACAGTCCAAAGAATGCGGTGACTATAGTATGCAGCTGTACCCCAGTTTCTTAAGTCCCTAGGGGAAAACATCCCTTCTCCCCAAAGGCCCCACTCACACATTCCTGGAAGGCGCTCTCCAGGGCCCCAATCACCAAGTCTTCTGCCCGAATGCCCTTTTCCTCCACAAACTGGGGGTCACTGGAGCAGACACAGCGACCGCTGAGATGCATGGGGGGCTGAGAGGCCAACATGCCTTCTACTACAGCCTCCAGCTGCCGGCGCAGGCAGGAATGCAGGGTGTTGGCGGCCAAAACGGCTGCTGCAGGTCCGCCATGCCCGTCAAAAAGTGCCCAGTAATGACCTGTCAGGAACTGCACAGGAAAGGCAGTCAGGCCCCTCCATCCTGGCGCTAGCCTGAAAGTGGGCTTCAGGCAGGGCTGTACTCACCTCCTCTGGGCACACCGTCAGCCACTCCTGATCTTCTTCAATCCCAAACTCACATCGCCGGATGCACAGCTTCCCACAAGCAGCCTGGTCCTCATTGAACTCCGATTTCTCCGCATTGATAATCCTGAGGCCATGACATCACCGGTGATGTCTCATCTATGTCACTGGGGCTCAGAGACTCCACCCGGGACAACTGCTTCTGGGTGCTGTCCCTGACACCACACCTAGACAACTTTTCATTTCTTCTTTTTTTTTTTTCTTAAGTTATTTTGTGCGCGAGTGTGCGAATGTGCATGTGTGTGCACAGACCAGAGGTGGACGTTGGGATTCTCCCTCTACTGTGCTCCATCTTAGTTTTTTGAGACAGGTCAGTCTCTTACTAAACCGGGGGCTCACTTCACTGATTCAACAGACTGCCTGACCAGCAAGTCCTGTATCTCCCTGCATCTGCCTCCCCAGTGCTGAGATTACAGGCCAGAACTGCCACGCCCAGCTTTTTACAAGGTTGTTGGAGATCCGAACTCCGGATCCTCATGCTTACTCTGCCCCAATGATAAGAAAGTTTTGTAACTGTTCAGTGGCTTTGTCACTCGGGTCAAAATCAGAGCCCAGGCCCTTTTAGAGACCCTGGGCTGGCCCAAGGTTTGTGAGGTCTCATCTCTGTCCCAATCCCATCCCATAGAGCATAGGCCAAATCCAGAGTGAGGTGCGAGGTGAGACACACATCTCCAAAGGCCGGAATAAAGGAAGGTCCAGACGCGGGATAGCCCTCCCGGGACCTCCAACCTTCTCCAAAGGAAAAGGCCAGGGTGGGAAAAGGAGGAATGTTGTCAACAGCCCCGGGGTGAGAACAAGGAGGGGGTTGGCGGGAGTGTCCACACTCAGCCAGTTTTCTAGGTCAGCACAGAACCCGACGAGATCAAGGAGGGGGTAGAGAGGGGGCGCAGGGGCAAGGACACTCACTCGGCGTAGCCTGCGTTCCAAGGCAGCGTGCGGCCCCGCGCCGGGCTGCGCACCGGCCGGGAGTCCGGGCGGCGCGAGGCGTCGGTGGCGCCGGGGCTGGAGCCGGAGCCGCGCAGGAAGCGGGGTCGGTGATAGGGGACGGGGCTGGAGCGCGGCCCCGCTGGCTGCGGCTCTGGAAGGGGACCCCCGGGTAGGAAGCGGCGCCGGAACCAGCCGGCGGACATTGCGTGGCGGCCGGGGGCTGCCCGCGCAGAGCGGGACGCCAGGGTCCCGCCCGCCCCAGGGAGGAAGCGGGCCTGGGGGTGGGGTCTGGGCTGCGAGGCCACGCCCCCTCCTGGCTCTCCCGCCCCAGGGTGTGCGGCCAGTGAACAGGGCCATCCCCTGTAACAAGGGACCGCGTTCACCCACCCCACTTTACAGGCTGGGAAACTGAGGCCAGGCGAGAGTGGCACTGAGCTACTGTGGGACTCTGAGTGGGGAAACCCTCCCCTCTACTCTAGGAACCGTGAAGTCATCTCCAGTGGGTGCCGGGCGAGGGCCACACAGCCTCAGCCTCGCGCTGCTAGCCACCGTCTTACGCAAGGGGAGGACGGAGACAGTACGTCCTTGGAGGTGTGAGACGACACACAGACTAAGAGCGTGCCCAGAGTGCTCTAGAGTTTTGTTCACCCTGGTCCTCATCCTCAGAGGCCCACTCCCAAATGGCTGCCCCCACAGTCAAGATGGCTTCTCGGGACACTACAAGATCCTCCCTGGAGTGTGAGCGACGGACAAGAGCAACCTATGGGAATTTAAAGGGGAGCGTAGTTCCTTTTTCCAGCTTGTCAAAGG